CCCCCCCCCCGACATATACACCGAGAGGAATATATTTTTGTTTGTTTGTTTGGAAGCACGGGACGAGAGCGACGAAAAAAAAAAAAAAGAGGTGCTGCGCCTCCACTTTGTGTGTGGGTGCACCTCTCCGCGATGGAGACGCGAATAGGGATTTCTCCCCCATCCCTCCGATGTAAGCAGCGTAATGGTCTTTTTTTTTTTTGTTTATTATTATTTTATTTGTTCTCCTTTCTTTTTTCGGATGTTTTACTTCTGATTGATGTCGTAACGTTGTTGTGATTTTGTTGTCATTCTTCCTTCCTTCCTTTCTTTTTTTAGTTTTTTTTTTTTTTTATTTTCTTCACTCGCCGTCACCAATTTTATTTTTTTCTGAGGTCATTTGTCCTTTTTTTTTTCCTTTTTTTTCGTTTGTTTGTTTGTGTACGTTTCCCGCCGGTGATGGTGTTTTCTCATGCCTGTGGGCATCGCAGCGGAGATCTGAAGGAATAAATAAAAGGGAGTGTGTCTGTGAGGAAGAGGAGGAGGAGGGGATGAGCACTCGGACAATTCTCACGGCGGGGGAGGCGGCGGAGGTTTTGGCTTCTGTGCGGTACGTTCTTCTTGACGTGGACGGTGTGTTGTGGGCCGGGAAGCATGTGTTGCCCAATATTCCAGAGACACTGTTGTACCTTCGCTTACGTGAGAAGCAAATTCGTTTTCTTACGAATAACGCCAGCATTTCTCGTGCTGGTCTGGTGCGGGAGTTTCAGCGGCGAGGCATTCAAGGGGTACGGGAGGGCGAGGTGTACAACAGCGGCTTTGCGGCGGCGCTGCGGCTTCAAAGTTTGTTCACTGCAAATAAGAGCACAGGGTCGGGCAGGCCACTGGTGGAGAGGAATATATTTGTTATCGGTGAGGAGGGGCTTCACGAGGAGCTGCGGCGTGTATTGGCACCTGGATACATTGCCTACGGGATGGAGCTGCATGACGCGGAAAAGTGTGGCGGCTACGACGCACACGTTGTGGCGTCTGCGTGGAAGCAACGCGTCCTTCCAGCGCCACTCCAATCGTCCGCCACTTCCTGTGGGATAGCAGCAACGGGCCATGCAGCGGGCGGTATCTCAATTTCTGATTTATCGCCTGCTGCTGTGGTGGTGGGGCTTGATATGCATTTTAATATGCTCAAACTCGCGTACGCTTCCCTCTGTTTACAGGAGCGGCCTGCAGCACAGACAGCGGGCACGTCGTCATCTACACCTACGTACTTTATTGCCACAAACGAGGATCCTCAAATACCAGTTGGTGAAGACTTCCTGCTACTCCCGGGTGCTGGTGGGATGGTCAGCGCCCTGCGCACTGTTTCTGGGCGTTCTCCTGACTTTGTATGCGGCAAACCGCATGTGGACATGGCGAAGGTTTTCTTTGAGGCTGAGGGAATCACGGATCCCCAGCAGTGCCTGATGGTGGGGGACAGGCTGACAACGGATATCGCGTTTGGAAATGCCGCTGGATGTAAGACGATGCTTGTGCTGAGTGGAGCAGAGAAGATGGATCGCGTCAGGCAGGCGGAACGGGATGGTCACGTGTCCCTTTTACCCGACTTTATAGCACCGTCTCTCGCCATCTTTTTACCACCCGCATAGGCGTAGAAATGATACGAATTTTCCTTTTTTATTATTATTTTTTTTTTGTTCTAAACGGAATAAATTGGAGGTGCTGGACTTTGCATGTATAACCGTAAGCGTGTGTGTCTTTCTGTTTTCCTTCACTGCTGCTCATGTTGAGAAAACACTCACACTCTTCCGACTCACTTTTTTTTTTCCTTTTCTCTCTCTTATATTTTATTTACTTTCCTTTTGGATGGTGCGTAGATACATACATGCACATGTATACATGTATGCTGCATTCAGGAGGGGCGTTTGTGGGGTGACTGGGCTTCGGCTTCACTCCGCAGTGCAAGCAGGAGGGAAGGTTAATCGTGTCGGGGGAGGGAAGGGGGAGGATTTGTGTTGGACTTCTGTTCTTCGTGGTGTCTTGATGCCTCATGTGATGGAGTGACGCGTTGCTCCTCATGCTGACGACGGCCATCGCAACGCAGGGCACCCTTTTTTTTTTTATATTCTCGTCACACTGTGACTGAGTTGTTTTGCAGGCGGTTCTGGCGAGGCTCTTCCTGCCGTGTGGCAGCGCTCTTTTCCACCACTGCCAACAGCCGCACGCACACACGCTTATTTTTACACGACGGCTTCAATTTTTTAGTATGGCACTTGTGAAATTGGCATTTCCTTTACCCTCGTGTTACTGGCACAATATTTTTTTTTTTGTATGTGTGTGTTTGTGTCTGGGAGGTGAGTGCTTTGGCATCCGCACGAGAGGGCGAGTGACTTCTTTTCCATTTATTCACTTCAATCACCCCATGCGTTTGGGTGCGACGATGAAACTACTGGGAGGCCTTTCTCTTTTCTTTTTTTTTTTTTTTGCGTGCAACTGGAGGGGCCGATGTGGTGCTTGTGGCGTAAACCGTCGTTTCTGCATAAGACGTGGCTGCTGATTACTTTGAGACCCTCATTGCAGTGGAGACGATGTGTGGGGATGGCCACGCACCTCCCACAGTATACATGCATGCACATTGATGTATAAAGATTGACTGTGGTTTTTATTGAATCTCACCTCCTTCCTTTCTCCTTTTATTATATATATTATATATATTTTGCGTGACTGTGGGTGTGTGGGTCATATCCGTAGCAGTGGGCCTCCATGCAATATTGGCACCCAACGCACTGCACCCTGCAGCTGAATTTTGTGCAGTCCGCTTCTCAGCGTGATGACGGCCGCGCCCTTTTGTTGGCGGGTGATGTATACAGTGGGAGATCTACTATTCGATACGTGCGTCGTTCATTTTCCTCCGCGACAATGCACGAGGAGTTTCCTGCACTTCGGGTGGAAAATAAAGACGGACTACACTTTCATGCCATTACGGCCTCCACGCACGCATTTCCAAAGGCCAGGCCTCTCGTTCTGCACTCCATTAAGGTGCATCAGCAGTACAATGATGCAGAAACCCTAAAGGTGCTGAAAGTTGTGGAGAGTGAATTTGATAAGGATGACAACGGTGGGGCGGAAAGTGGTGAGCAACACAGCGTCACATCAAAGGGGGGAAATCCATGCGGAAAGAAGGCGAAGAGCAAAGTTCACGATGCCAATGAGACCGAGCGCCAAGGGACTCATGATTCGTACGATAAGCAGCAAGGTCGTTCAGATCCGGGGTCGAAACATGTCTTCTTTGAGGGAGCTGAAAGCATGCCTGCCGGCTCCATCGTCAAGTTGGAGATTGCCTTTACTGGTAGCATCCAGGGGTGGGATCAAGGAGGCATTTACGTGAATGACAACCCGGAAATTGTGAAGGCGGCGGCGGCAAATTACGGTGTACTCCTTACCCACTTTGAAGTTGCCTTGGCCCGTCTTGCCTTTCCATGCCCGGACGATTCTCAGTGCTACCGCCTCATCTGGCATCTGCAGTCACTGCAATTGCCCTCAAGCTACAGTGTGGTGGTGAGTAACACCGCAAAGCTGTCAGAGAAGGCGATGGGTCAGAAGGGGACGCAACACACCTTTTTTCCTGTGGGTCCTTTACCCGCCTACGTGTTGGCCTTTGCCGCCTTTAGTGGTTCCGTGCAAGTGGTGGAGGAAACTCTTTTTCTCCGTGGGCCGCTCACACCCGGTGCGGAAGGCCGAAACTCGAGACTCAACACTGTAGAAAAAATGGTACCGTTGCGAGTTTTGGCAGCCACATTGAGTGGGGTGACATTGGATACACTCAGGCAAATTGCCGACACCGTTCGGGAGGCTGTAAACCTCCTAGAAGATTTTTTTGCCTCACCCCTTCCTTTGCAGCAGATGCCCTTCTCAAATGAGTTTGAGTGGCAGGAGGATGTCCTTACGATTGTTGTCGCTCCTACGATGCCGTACATATCAGGCATGGAGCATCACTGCTGCATTTTTCTCAATGAGGCCATTTACCGATCTTTTTCCCGCGATGGCACTGTGAGAGGGACAGTCCGGCGTCCCATGACGGAGGCAAACGGAACACATGAGGTCAGTAGAGTGATGCTTATTGTGCATGAACTTGCACACCACTGGGTGGGGAATACTCTTGGTATGCCTTTTGTGCTGAAGGAGGGTATTTGTCTTTTGCTGGAGCAGTGTTTTGGTGACGTCATTGTCGGGAAACCAATGCGGAGTATAAAACCTTCGGGTGAAAAGATGATGTCCGACACCGCCGTACCGTCCCGCAGGGTAGTGTCGAGGATAAAAAAGGCGTCAACACCGCCAGTGATTGTGGTGGACACAGAGAAGGGCAAGGAGTTTACGGAGTACTCGTACCAGAAAGCACTAAACACACTGCGTGATGTGGTGAGTGGCATGGGATTTAACGACTTTAAGGAACGCATGCGACGCATCTACCAAACAGAGGTGATGGGATGCAAAGAAAACATCGGCATGATAGACGGAAGGGATTGTGGGGATTTATTCCTAGCGCCGTACATCACCACGAAACAATTTTTAAAATATATGGAGGTATCGCGTGTAACTGTTTGAGTAGGTGCACAGAAAACAGGTTGTTGGGAAATAATACTTCTTTACCGGAGCGGAAATGAGGCGGAAAAGGGGGGAACAAGAAATCTCACTTGTTTCTGCTGTACAATGTCCTTTGGCAGTCCTATAAGTTTTTCTGCTTCCCTTCCCTATGGTTGCGACATGACGTGAGCGATTAGGTGGTGGAGAAGATTATAATATACATGCCAGCCTCATTATACACACCGTAAAAGGCAGTGGTATACTATGGACGTCTTGTGCCTTAAGTATTTGATGGGCTTCTTTTATTTTATTGCATTTTTGCTTATCCCTTCTCTTTCTTTCTTCCTTTCTTTCTTTTTTTTTTTTTTTTCAAGTCATACTCATACGAGGATACACCCAACCATGCGCCGCGTCATTGCCTCATGTCTTTGTGCCCAACGTCTTGCCCAGTGTGCCACAACGTCAACTGCTGTACTGGCATTCAGCGCCTCTATTCGCCGTCAAGGCACACGGCAAGGGGCTCCCACCGGCGTTCCACCGGAGTTACGCGCCCCGCCGCAGGGGTCTCGTCCGTCACACCACGAACACCAACAGACGGAAATGAACGCTGCGCCGGAGGAAAACTTTGAGCCGCCGCAGAAACCCGCAGAGCCCCCGAAGATGCTGAAAATAGACACAAATGAGAAGGGCATTACCACCGTTCAGCTTAGCCGGGCCCCGGTGAACTCCCTTAGCCTGGAGCTCTTTGAGGAACTTAATAAATGGATGCTGTGGCTTGGAAGCGATGAAGAATGCAAGTCCGTCATTCTCACGTCTTCTATCCCTACCGTGTTTTCAGCAGGGCTAGACATCAACGAGATGTTTAATCCACAGCCCGAACGCCTCCGTCGCTTCTGGCAGGCGTTTCAGGAGACCTGGCTGATTCTCAACAGCTTCCCCAAGCCCATTATTGCCGCAATCAACGGCAATTCCCCTGCCGCTGGCTGTATTTTGTCTCTTGGCAGTGAATTCCGCGTCATGGCCCGTCATCCTTCCGGGAAGCCAGATCGTTTATATCGCATTGGGATGAATGAAACAAAGCTGGGCATTACGGCCCCCGCATGGGTGATCCCTGCGTACGCATATGTTGTTGGCTCCCGCAACGCCGAGCGAATGCTGCAGTTGGGAGAGACACCAACTGCCGACGAGGCACTCAGAATTGGGCTTGTGGATGCCGTGGTTGAGGAGGAACAACTACGCGAGGCTGCGGTGAGGGAAGCGGAGCGCTTCATGGCGATCCCACAGCAATCACGATGGATGTCACGAGACATGATGCGACGTGAGTTCCTGCAGCACATCGCAACAGACGAAGATAGAGAGTATGACACGCAGTTTGTGGTGGAACTTATGATGAACCCAGAGGTGCAGAAGGGACTGGGTGCCTACTTGGCTCGTCTCAAGGGGCAGCACGTGAAGAAGTAACTTATTTTTTTCTTGTTTTTCCCTTAGAACCATGCATGCCCACGCAATATTTATACATTTATACACCTATGCATGCATGTATGATGACGGCTGATGGTACAAGCCGGAAACGGCGGGAAGACTGACTGAATGCGTGGGAACGCAGCGGAAAGAACGTTAAAAGAAGCAAAAAATAAAAAATAAAAAAACAAAAAAAGAAAAGAAAAGAAGGCAACATTTGTATTTTTTATTTTTTTTTTAATTTTTTATTTTACACAACAGAGAGGGAGAGAGAGGGGGAGGGGAAAGTGGGGAACCAACGAAGAAAAATAAACAAAATATGACAATTGCCCTTACAAATAATCCCGCCTGCAGAAAACACTTCGTCATTGCCAATACAACAACAAAAAACTATAAAAAAACAAGAAAACTGAGGCAGTTGCATAAAAGATCCGGAAATAAATAATGAAAAAGAAGAAAAAACAAAAAAAAAAGCAACACTTTCCGAAACATTTTTTTTTTTTTTTCTTTTTTATGCCACACAACATAACACACGTTTCCCAGTATATATACATATATATATATGGACGACTTTAATTTGTGCCACATCAATAAATACCACGCGGAGAATACAGAAACACATCGGCAAATATAAATATAAATATATACGTGCGTAACCACATGCCAAATACAAAAACCCTCCATACAACAACCGTCTTGACAAACACTTTACATGCATTTTCACGAATTTGAATATGTCTTACTTTATTTTTATTTTATTCACAAAGAGTGGGACAAAGACGAAAAGAAAAGAAAAAAAAAACATTTGATGGGGATAACAATTCATTATTTATATAATAAAATAACAAATAAAGACACATGTACCATACAACAAATGTGAATTAAAACAATAAAAAGCAGAAGATGTGGTTTGACCTTGCGCACCGCCTGTTCCTGACTGCGAGGTACATTGCGAAGGGCGATGACGACATGTTCCTCCGTGTGCCGCTGTTTGTTGCTCACCTGCGCCTACTGCCGCGCCGAGGGATCTACATGGGATACCACATGCTTCCTCCCTCTGGTCCGGAAAGATATATAAGAGGTTACACGTTTATGGTTGGCTGGTGCTACACCCTGTCGAGGGATGTGGCGGAGGCGTTGGTGTCGTACAAGCCGCTGCGCCGCCTGGCCTACCTGCCGTACAGCAAGGAACGCGACCACGAGTTCGCACCCCTTCTTTTTTATGAAGAAGACGTCATGGTCGGTTGGGTTCTTGGGAGTGTATTAAAGTACAAGCCAATGGTATACGTCGAGATGCAGGATTGTCATTTCCATGACGTTCGCAATGGCACGGGGCACTCGCAGGTGGTGCCGACCTCGATGTGTGTCCATCACGTGCGGGAGGACGACTACGCTGCGCTGATGGCGCGCTTCGGTAACGACACATCGCCTGTTGCCCGTGTGGAATGGGTCTCCGAGGACACGATTTCTTCTCAGTGCGATTGACAAATGGACGAAATGATCTGTTTTCTGTGCGTGTTGAATTCTAATTAATTGCTTGATTGGTTGCTGCATTCCGGTTTGTGCCCTGTGTGCTCTCTGGCCGAACGAAGTGGAATGTGTCATTGACCGCCCCGTGCCCCCGTGGAGCGTGTCACTCCCTGCCCTCGACCCGCGTGCGGGAGGTGGTTGTGGAGTCAGTGGGCGCCCGTTGCGTTGTGCTGCGTGTGTGCTGGGCCGCCAATGAACGATGTATGTGAGTCTGTGTTTCTGATACATTTTATTCTGTTAATTGTGCTGTTGGGAAATGGAGTGACTCAGCATTTTTTTTTGTGTGTGCGTTGCTTGCTTCGCCCTTCCCGCGCCTGAGCCCTCACCTCGCGGTTGGGAGCCGCCGGGGATGCATTCTTGTGTTTTCTTGTGATTTATTTGTGAGCGGAGCGTCCCACGGTGCGGCTGCTGTCAGTGCCGATGGTGTGGCTCTCGGTGTGTGGAGAGTGCGTGCCGTGACGCTCACCCCGTCGCCGATGCGCCGAGCGGGCGGGACAACGCCAGTGGCACACAGTTCCCTGCTTGTTGGCGACGCAGCTGTCCTTTTCTTTTCACTGCTTGTGTTCACTTGTAGAAGGCTGCACAGTGTAGGGGCGTCGCGGACGGACGGGAAGCAGACGACGGGTGGACTCGCTGGTGGGCGGCGGGCTTGCGGCGGCTTTCTGCGTTGCGGTGGAACGCCGCCGGCCTCACTCTGGCGAAACGTCTGGCGC